GATAATTTTTTGATTTTTCAATCCTAAACCAGGCTTGTAGGTATAGTTCACCCCTCTTGAGATCACTGTTCAAGAAGCTTTCTGTTTGCTTTATATCCTAAAAGCAGCATTGGTGTTCATTGGGCAGCCCTGAGTCAGAAATATAATCAAGTAAAAAAAAAAAAGATTTCTGGTTTATCTGAAGCTTTCAAAATCATACACATTTAAATGTTTTTAGTGTTATTATATATATTTGAATATAGAATTTAAACAACAATGATAGAATATCGACTTATGCCTCTAATTCTGGTGGTAAAATAATTTTTGAAGTTGTATGATCAATTTAGGTGAGTTAATATTTAGTACTTTATTGTTATCACTAGATTAACATCTTGTTTATAGATCTTTAAATCTTTGAATTACATTTATTAGAGCTTTAGATCTGCTGTTTCCTTTCTGATATACCGTATTATGTAAAAAAAAAAGAAAAGGCATAATCAAATGTTTTGGAGCCAAAGAAGTCAATGAATCGTTTTAAATAGTAAGACACTAAAGCAGGAGCAAAAATATGCCACCTCATGTTTTAATAATAAATTTATTACATAATATAACAAACATATATCTCTGTGGTGGAGATATCCAGGGCAACGTCTCAGATCTTGCCTCAGCCATTTTCCATCGCCCTTGCTTTGTTTGCCTGGAGAAAATTAGGTAGCTTCTGGTTAGGTAAGGTTATTAGCATAGGCCTATATGTGTCGGATGTTCATGTAAAGGTGTGTGGGGGGAGCAGTGGTGGATGAGTTGCTGATGAAAAGCCAAAAAAGGGACGTTCTCTTGCGAGACAAGGCCGAGGCGTTGCAGTGATACATCCACCATTCTAAACTTCACAGTGCAAACAAGGAAAAAAAACCAACAATGAAAGAAACAAAACCTCTGATGATAATATCGCTAGTTCCAGTGTGCCGACGGGTACCAGGGAATTCTTAAGAAAAGTCACATTGCTTTTCCTAAACTATGTAGATTGTGCTTTGTTGATTAAGAAATATAAAGAGACAAACTCTTTCTCAGAACTTATTTGAACGAATGATGTGTTCATCTGTTACTCGCTGTTTACTCAAATGTTTTGACTTGTTAACTTCAACAACAACCCAACTCAACCAATCTAATCAGGCCAGCCCTCTAATCAGGACAGACTTTCTCTGGGATAAAAACTCATCATTCAAATCAAGTAGCGGAGTCGCTATATCTTGAAACTGATAGAACAATGTTAAAGTAGAAAAACACAGGCTTTATATATGTATATACATACATTTATATGGAGACATTTATATAGCCTGTGTCTATATGGCGTAATAAATACAGGTGCAGCTTAATGAAATACATCATAGAAAAGATCAATTATTGAGTTCAAAAAGTTAAATCCATTTATAATGTATTTAGCAAACACAGGGTAATGTATTTCAAGTGTTTACCTCTTGTAATTTTGATGATTATGATCTACACCTTATTAAAACTTTAGAAATTCGAGTCGAAATGAGACGTATTTAAAACGATTTCTAACACATTAATGTTCAATAATTGAACCCGTGACAGTTATCCAAAAGGCAGTCATTGATATTGTGGAGGGTGCAGAGGAACTCCCTCATCACAGAGTGTTTTATCTGAGAAAATAAATGGAAAGTTTAGTGGAAAGAAAACGTATGTTCTAACATCGTGAGCGGAAGCCAGAACTGGAGCCTGGAAGCTCAGTTAACTGGGTGATATGAGTTTATACTCTAAAGAAAACAAACATTTTGTCTTTGATCCCATGTAATAAATCCTTTTTCTGATTACCTGAATTTGGAGTTTTGTTTTAGCTCCTAGCCACAATCATCAAATTTAATAGAGCTAAACATTGAACATTAATTTAATGAAACAAATCAATTAAATCGTAATTTCTTTTTTTTTTTTTGCACTGAATACAGAAACTGATAAATCTTTCAGTGATGTTTGTATTGATTGAGCCGCACCTGTACTTCCACCTGCAGGAAAATACCAAAGGATCAAGAAAATGTCGATTCTCAAGATTACCAGGAGATGGCACCATATTGTTATAATACACAAGAGCCTAAGAATGCTGGAACTAAGGTAGTCCTAAAACATAAGACAAGTATACAGTTAAGTGACTTTTTGGCACATTTTTTGTGTTGTTTGTTCCTCACTGGATCATCGCTTATAGCATATTCAAAACTCAGAAACTGAAAGTCTGAAAAAGGAAAAAGGAGAGCTGCCAGACAGAGTGCAGCGGAGCGGGAAATGCCATTTGAGAAAGGCAGTACAAAATTAGTGACGCTGCATAAGATCCAACTACAGAGTTGCAAGTTTTTGTCTTGACTCAGGTGAAGGAAATTTGACAGTGGTTTGCTTATCTCTCTCTCTCTCTGTCTGTCTCTCCCTCTGGGGCAGAACAGTACAACCTTTAAAGACAGAAATTCCAACATAAAAAAACACAGAACACAACAATGAGCTTCAGTGTTGAAGATTAATGTGTGTGCACTTTTCTGTTTGCATGTGTGTGTGTGTGTGTGTGTAGTTGTGTGACACAGCCACAGCCGGCAATCTCTGATGGTACAGTAAGGCTATAGTGGACTAACGCCAAAGATGTAAACCCTAACAATTAACCACACTCTCACGATCTCATGCATTCTCTGCATCTCACTTCCAAACAGATACACAGACATGAACAAAAAAACAACAAACAAAAAACAAGCATTTGCACACATGCACACGCATTCACACACGCACGGTGAAGAGGAACAAGCACACAGAGAGATTCAGGGAATCCAGATGCACTCATGCGCTTGGACGATGGGTGGCTTTTATGTTAGCACCTTGTCACCTTATTTTTGTGCAAATCATCCCCTAGTTCATAGTTCAGAGTTCAAAAGTTCAAGAGTTCATAGAAAGAATAAAATCTGTTCACCTTTTCCACAGGTGGTTAACTATGCATATATGCCAAACATTCATATATAGATCTATATACTTTTCAAAAATTTATATGAAATCTATTATATATACATTGCTTGTGATTTAAAAAAAAAGCAAATATTTAAGTTCTTCTTTTTTTTTTTTTTTACAATTGTAAGTATGTCCAGAATGGACAGATTTTTTTCTTCTTCCCGACCACTCTTAACTTCATATAAATAAAATATCATGTTCCACACGCTACAAAATCTACCCACAGTGGCAGAAGTAAAAAAAAAAAAAAAAAATCAGCAACACAAGAACAAAAGGGACTTAAAACAGCAGTTTAAAGGAAAATTAAGAGTGAGGTCACAGTGAGGCAGTGAGTGCTATTCCTACAACTCCTACATGATTTTATTCACCACCTGCTTTTCAGAACGAATAGAGAAAAAAAAAGGATGGACACAAGTTATGCCAAGTCAAAGAGCCTTGGCTGAATGCTTCTGATGAGCAGAGGTTTTCAGTGTTATTTCTTGGCATTCTGTCAGAAAAAAATTAATAAAATAACTAGAATGCCAAAATGTTTTTTTTTTTTTTTTTTTGTAGTATGAATAAAACTCACTGGTTCTCACTGCCAGCAGAAGCTGCTCATGAGTACAATTGCAGATTTGTATTGTTCAAAGATTCAGGATTTTCTTTTTGTTCTTTTTACAGCCTGGGTTTACTTTCATAGTTCTGGCTGATAATATTTTATTCACCAAGACACTGGTAAACCTAAAAGGAATACAGCTGCTCATTCAGGCTGTAAAAAAAGTTTTTTTAAGACCTTTTGTAAGCTTTCCCATCCCCACTGCCATAAGAACTATACCGATGTCTGATATTTATGTTGATTGTTTTAAGACCTTTAAGAGTTTTTGCATCCGGGCCAAAGAAGTATTAGAGATTGTACCAGCAGACATGTTTTTATAAAGGCATGGGCTGCTTAGGGCTATAAGAACACATAAAAGTTTTCTAAAAGTTCTGCCATATTGTCTCAACACTTATGCTTACAACACTGCTCCTCCTCCATCTGTTGCTGCCAGAAAAAGACATTTGGCCATTCCAGCATATTATTAGTTGGGAAGAACCAAAAAAATCATTGTGTGTATTAAATATTTTCCTATATTTAATAAGGTGTAAATTATGTTGTTTTGCTGAAGCCTATATATCAAAATACAAGAATCAATACATGGCAGAAATAAAAAGTTTCAAGGTTCTCAAACTGGTGGCTCAGAAAAAAATGTAGGTAAAAGGGGGAACAACAACAGCCAAAAAAAACTTTTAAGGAACTTTCAATACATCCTCTTTTGTAAGTTGGAGATGAGAGTATAATTGTCAGTAAAGGTAGGTTACGCACGTGTACAAAGATTTGACTGGATACAAAACTTTACAATTACAAGGGAGATCTGGCAGCTGAGTCGGCCGATGAAGAAGACGGTTGTTTAAAAAAGTCCACCTCTGGGGGACCTTTGTGTTAAATCTCACAAGCTGAAATTTAGATTTCAGTATCTGATGAGAAAGAAAAATCTCCTTCCAACCCATGCCTGCTATAAAATATCATGTTTGATTTGTAAATTAGTAATTTAGATCCTCAAATGAATAAAACACCATTTACTGCAGAAGGGAAAAACAAATTTCCTCCAGTTTTATGGCTCATTAGCCCTCTATGACAATGTGTCACTAAGATCTGAGACGGATACAGTAGGAATGGGTTTAAGCTTGGGGTCTTAAGCTCACATTATGGGATGCCCTTTAGTATGACGGAAGACCGTAAAACAAAATAAAAACACACAACAAACTGTCCAGAACATGATGCAACTTGTCATGCTACGCTTCAAGAAAAGGGTGACCATACAGAAAATTCTATATGTATGATAAAAAAAATATTTTTTCTGTATTTATATTTTGTTTTCTTTCAAATATATATATATATATATATATATATATATATATATATATATATATATATATATATATATATATATATATATATATATATATATATATATATATATATATATATATATATATATATATATATATATATATATATATATATGTATATATAACTGGTAGAAATTAGTAAACTATCGGTGGAATAGATTTTAAGACTTCTTTCTGTTTTCTAATCTAAAACCAAAACAGCTGCAGATTCGTTTACTAAATTTTTTCTTTGCAACATTGTCTTTCCATTTGAAAGCTATATTTAGATACATATATTATATTATGCCATATAATAGTAATATATATATAATATTCCCTTTGGAAAATCAGAAAATTAATTATGAAAAAAGCCACGAGTGTTGGTTAAACATTCTCCAAATATTATAGATTGCACAGTCTTGGTACCAAGGCAGAGGGTTTTTTTTCCTCCTGTGGAGCTCCGCCTCTGGATTCAAAAGTCTTCGGTTTAAAAATTATAGCAGGTATTCAGAAGACACAACATTTTCAGAACTGTTAGTACTATTTCCATAGCACTGTGTTCATCGGAGTTGATTTCAGTAGAAATATTTTTGAAAAGGCAACTGAGTTTTCTGTTTGGGACGAGAATCCTTCCTCCTCCTCCTTTACTGCCAAAGGCTTCCATAGGCCTAATACAAGAGGGGAGAGAGGTAGAGAGGGTGCGGTGAGAAAGTACCGATGTTACTAAAGCAACGACTGTACTTTTCACAAATCAAATGATCTTATTGAAGCTCATGTGATTCTCTTTAGTAAAAGAAAAAGTCCAGATATTCTTTTGGGACGTTCGGCCTGATCTGTCGCAGGTGAGAAGGGAGAACCCCAAAGTGAGTAAGGGTGAAGCAAAAGAGGAGGAATGTTCATTGTATGAGGATTGCCTCCTCTCTTCATTGCATTGCCAGTTTCAGGGTGTGAATGCAGACCAGGAAATGTTATAATGAACCAGAGGTGAACATTGTAAGACTGAACAAAAGACGCTGGGAGGAGCGGGGTTCAGTTGGTTGCTTGTTTTTCTTTAACTAATTCAGTCCTCATGTCTTTTCTTCTGTAGCTATTTCTCAGGGCTAGGGTCAGCTCTCTAGAAGCAGTTTAAGTGCTCTTTCGATGTTCATTCGGTGTCCAACTCGTGTCACTCCCAGCTCTGCAAAGTCCTCCTTGGTTAGCGCTGGAAGGTGAGAGCCTTCGATCTCATGTTCCTGAAAACCTGCTCTGTGCTCTCCCAAGTTGATGCTCTCGAGCCAGTCTCCGACGTCGTACTTGTTCCAAAGGTGGAGGGGCTTTTGGTGAAAAGGTCGAAGTGCTAAAAGTGGTGAACCTAATCCAGGTGAATGGGAAGGCGATGGAGAGCGAGAACGGGCACTGGAGCTCCTCATCACAAAGCGGACCTCTTTAGGCTCCTGGGGTAAGCTGAGGCTAGAGGACTTGAGAATAGTTTGTGGTGGTGTAGTTGGAGAAGCTGCCAGGCCAAAGCCTGAGAAGCGTCCCAGAGGGTCACCTCGGTCAGGTGAGCCTGAGCCTGGGCTTGGGGTGCGTCTGCTGACGGGGTAACGGCTTCCGGGGCGGATGGTATATGTGGTTCCATAGCTTCTCTGGGAAAGGGTGTGTAGCTCACCTAGGCTGCTAAAAAGTCTGTTGAAGACACAGAAGTTTAAATATTTCAATAAAACAGTTCAAAAGTTGAATAAAAGCTTCATTCATTCTCCTGTCTCACATCCTGTCTCATTGAAACAGAAAGCTTCAATGTATTTTATAGGAGTTTTATGACATTTCAGTCTGGAGTTGCACAAACTATAGCAAATTCATTGTTGATGCACAATCTTTAAATGCAAAACTTGTTTAGCACAAAAATATTTAGCAACACATGTGGGTAATGCTGCATCAAATGTTTTTGAAGGTAAAGAGGTGGTGAGGTCAGATAAGGTCAAACTAAGTTTTTAACAGATGTTTAATTATACCTTTAAACTTGGGTTTAGCCTTTCTGGTGCACAAAGCAAACAACTGTTCTGATCCTCAAAAAATGTTCATACTGTTAAAATGAAAAAAAAAAAAAAAATCATTTTATAAAGACATCTAAGTGCCTGATTTACTAGTATCCCAATGGAGGAGCACTAACTTGCTTGTGCAAACATAACATTGCATGAAGTAATGAATGTGTTTCAGATCTACTAAGACTGCAAGCACAATGAATCACAAGTGCTACAGTATTGCATACCATCCTATGTTACTTGCTGTCACCAGATTTTGGGAGAGCAGAGATGACTTGTTTTTGAGGTACCAATGGGCAGTCATAATTTACAAAAGAAGTTTACAAAGGTAAAGGTGTGGTTGCTTTGTGGAGAAGGACCATCTCTGTGCAGACAAAATAACATCTCTGTTTGTGTGAAAATGTTAAAATAATTGGATGACTAGGAGTAGTTTCTGGCATCTGGATCATTCCAACTGTTGCAAGGCCTTAAGGTGACAGTTTAAATTTCTCAAAGACATGTTACTCAGAAATGTTACTTTATCTTTCCAGACACCACAGATGCCAAACACCAATCTGTTGTTATGAATAGAGAATTTCTTTCTTTTATTTTTATTTTTTCAAACTGCCACAGCCTTTAGTTTATAAAACGAATAGGGAAAACAGCCGGTGTACAGCAGAAAAGAAATGGTTTACCAAAGCAGAGTGACAAAACAGAAGATAGAACAAATTTTATATACAACAGATTTTACCACTGATTTATACAGAAACTTCCACTTCTGTTAAAAAGAGCTCTATCATATCAATGAGTAATGCAGTTCAGGATACACAGAGATGATTCCCTCTGTCTTTTCGGTCACTATACCAATGCCTCTTCGTCACATCAACTTCAGACATTTTGTGTGTGTATGTTTTCATCTGAATTTAAGATGACTAAAACTACACAGAAACCTCATCTTGCAATCAGGTTCAGGTTTGAAAACTTCCATTTTGGGTTGTAAGGAGAAATATTTTGTTTGCTGGTGAAGAATCTCAGTCATCCAGGTCATAGTAATTCCAAAAAAGCTTAAAAACAAAACCACTAGACTTTCCCCCCCCAAGTTTGAAGATGTTTTGCTTCCATCCAGGAAGTTTTCTCAATTCAATTTTTTTTGTTTTTAACTTTTTTGAATGTAATATTTGTTTGGTAATTTCCCAGTATTTTGCATGTTCTGATGATCAGCATATGTTCTGCATATTTATTCCAAAAATGCGTTCTGCATATTCACACATGGAAACACAATAAATGGTTTTCTTCTGCTAATTTTAGAGATACAATTGTATTTTCAACTAGTTAGTAAATCAATTTTTCAAATCCTATCAAGTTCGCATATTTTTATACAAGCAAAGCTTCAGTAGATCAAGCACCATGTGTTCAAAATACTGCAATTAGAGGAAAGCATATTTTGTTAGAAAAACAGGGTTGTTTATGCCAGACTTGAAGCTTAGGCCTGAAATGACAACCAACCCAGCCTTACCGATAGAAAAGTATTAAAAACCTATTATGCATCTTTAGAGGATGTCCTTAGCCCAACAAGAGGCATGAAACAACAATGTACCTCAACAATGCGTAAAAAAATAAACAAAGAAAAAATAAAAACACTGAGATTAGTCATTTCTTCACTACTAGTCAATGGAAGGAGGGGAGGATGATCAGATGGATAATGAATGATGTTAAAAGCTAAAACTAAGAAGGTTTGTCCAAGTGAAAGCAGGCAGAAGCATGGAGAATACACCTACATTTCATTCATGCATTTTAACCAGAGAATCCCTCTACTGCATATGTTTGGAGCTTCCCTATTAGTGACTTTTACACTACGAAATGTAATGGAGCACAGGTCGCTCAGGCTGGAAAAAAAATGATCATATTACAGGGAGCCAACAGGCTGGGATGAGCTCCATGCGCACTTACACAGTCGTCCTGCCCTCCTGGAAGCACAGTCAGTTCTAGACCAATCAGATCAGAGCAGCAGGGCGTGGCATGCAAGGTGAGCAGAGAGAGAGCAATGTGAGAGAATGTTAGCATCACTCCATGAGACGCAGCCTGCTAACCAGACTCAATATATGCTTTAGCCAACTCTGCTGCCTTCCAAACCCTTGGCGTATAGGAGAAAACGTGTGCTTGTTCTGACTCAAGAACAATATATATATATATATATATATATATATATATATATATATATATATATATATATATATATATATATATATATATATATATATATATATATATATATATGCGTGTGTGTGTTGCTAAAATGTTTGCATGACTGAGGCAGCAGAGCAGGTTTTAGCACTGCAAGTCTGACCAGTGGGCTACATGACAGAGAAATGAGCACACTGTTCACATGTACAACACTGCACAAACAAAAAACACACAAATGAAAAAAATAAAAGAAGCCATATTTCTCCTGTCTGTTATGATTGTGCGCACATACAAGGAAAGTTGAGACTTTTGTATGTTCTGCTCTGCTATTATGTTTCCCTGAAGAAATAGAAGATTCGTCCGATATATACATGGACAGTCACAGACCATCTGCATTTTCAACACAAAAACTGAAAAAAAAAAACAAAGTTATGAACTTTTACATAAACAACCAAAAAAAGAAAAAGAAAAACCAAAGATCACAAACTGAAAAAAACCCAAACAAAACAGCAAAACTCTAAGACAAAACATTGTGGTGTGTGGAAGGATTTGAACGGGTACGAGATGGTAGAGCATTAACATTAAAAATGCTGGGATGTCTATGGTGTATGAGAAGTCCTCCAGCAGGTGGAAAGAATTAAATGCAAATGCAGAGTGATAGAGAAAGAGGAATAATGGTGTGCATGATCATTTTATCACAGCCTAAGGCAATTAACTGTCAGGATGAAAATGGTGGGAAGATGAGAGAAATCTGAACTAAATGTTATATGATATGTTGCATTTGAAAGCATGGTCTTCTTTATCGTCACCAAAATTCAAAAACTCATGTTTGGTTTTGCTTGCTTTAAGGTTTACCTGCTTTTTATTTAATTAGCCACAACAGTAGAAGGATGTCAGATCATGCAAGTAGGACTACTCATCCATTAAATATTCTAGTAAGCGATGTTGCTTTACCTCTTAAAAGATGCCAAAGACTGCACCCTACAAAAAAAAAATCATCCACACTATTGATGCAGACAGATAAAATAAAGAAAATCCTTGGTTTTCCAAAAGTGAGGAGACAAAAGAAAAAAAAAAGATAATGGCCATATTTGCCTAACAAAACAATACCCATCAAGTGTCTTAATACAGCTAGAATTGTACTTCATTTTGGTAAAATATCTGTAATTTGTATGAAAAAGTGAAATACATAAGTTAATACATTGACACATTTCAGAATTTACTTCTATTAATTTTGATTAGTATCCCTTATATCTAATGAAAACTTGAACTTACTCAAAGGCGCTGTCACACCTTGAGAATTTAGCCAGCCTATGCCGACATCCCAGAATCCTCTAAAAAGCTGGCATACACTGAACTTTCTATGTATTTTTTTTTTCAATTTTGGGCATATACATATAGTCTTCATAAAGGGCCCAGAACTTATTTCCAACAACAGCCTAACTTATGCATAATGCATGATAGCGTAATGCCCATGAAATGTCACAAACCGGTGTCATGAGGGGAGCAGCAATGCACCCAGAGGCGCCCTGCCTGCATAAAAGCATAATAAGAACATTTCTCTAAACTCTGCAGTAACAGTATTAACCTAGCTGCTGTTTACCACCCGCCAAAAAAAAAGAAAAGGGAAAAGAAAGAAGGTTTGAAGTCACAGCAGATTCAGCGTCATGTCTGCTAAGAAGTTAATTGGTCGTGGCCGTGGACGCAGGGAGCATCCATAACACTCACCTTCACGCTCACCCTATGTTGTGGATTATACAGGTTGGATAAGCTAGACACCACGACTTATGAGTAACTTACAATTAACGTATGTCAACAATCACATAACTTACCTGTAACTTATGGCCCACATATAAGCATACGCTCGCATACGTCGGGAAATTTTGAGCTCAAAATTTCTTGACGTACTCGCCGTGTGTCGATGTGTTTCAGTGTGGTTCAGCTAGCTCATTACTTATACAAAAGGTACGCATAACTTATCCAACTTACACCAGCAGTTTTGCCAAATTGTTGTCGTCGGCATACGCTGGGTAAATTGTTAAGGTTTGACAATGCCTTTACAGAGTAATTGCGTATCACTTTATACTGATAAAAAAGATTCTATTAAAGATAGTAAAGTATTTCTGTGGAGACACAGTGAATGGCTTCAACCGGGCACCTGGCCCTCAGCGTATGTTGTTGCACTGTGTCTCCTGGATGGGTGTTCAGGAACCCATCATTCATTTATTGTCATTGTACTTTGTACAATGATAATAAAAGGAATTCAATTTAATATATATTAGTACTTGGTCAGCGGCTCTTTTTGCTTGTTGTATTACATCAATACTGTATGTAGTATGGAAGCAAAAAGTCTCTGATTTGAACAGCAGCCTTTAATTCATCTGCATTGTTAAGACTATCTTCCTTTTTAAATTCCTTGATGGACTCTTCCTTGAATTTTAGGCGAGTCTGCTGGTTAATACAACTCAGTTATACCACGGTCATTAAAACCAGTACTGAAGCTTTTGGCAGTATGGTCGGTTGCCCACATCATTTCTGTTAAGCTTGTCAGCAGACAAAATTTCCTCTCAGACCACTCCTCTGTGATTTTGTATGTCCCATCATTCTTTTCATAAAAATTCAGTATTACAAAATTTTTTTTTCATTGGCTGTAAAAAAAGAAGTGAACACTTTGACTGTATTATAAATCTGTATAATATGAATTTCACCTTTTGAATTAAATTATGGAAATAAACTTTTCAATGATAGTCAACCTATCATAGCACAGTCTGGGGTTTCACATTACTAAGCAGAGGTTTTTCATGTTGTGTTTAGTCAGTGTACAGTACCAATAATTAAGGTCTGAAACCATACATCCATCCATTTTCCATCCATAATGCCCATTTATCTGTGGAACTTAAGATAACAGGGACGAGTGGTGGGGCCTATACAGAGGTCAGGGGTCAAAAACTTAATTTTCGTTAGTTATAAGAGCAGCACAATGCTGAAAACGCCTAAATACAAATCTGAGATGAAAATGAGATCCACAACATTACAAGGAAACTGAAGGAGTAAGTAATACTACTCTACAGCTTAAACTAAAACTAGTCTTTTAAATCCAAAACGTAATTCCTTTTTGAAACATTGAATCTGAGTTTTTAATATATCCAAATAATGCAAGGTGTTATAAAGCAAAAGCAAACCTCATATGGAGAAAAAAATACATCTCTTACCATTTATTTGACAGTTATTTTCAACTGACTCTTTATAATGTTAGTGTTAGTGTAAGCGATAAACATGAAAACTAAGATATAACAGAGAACTACCACACTATCATATTTCAGTCCTGTTCAAATACTTTCTAAAAATACATCCCCAAATCTTTAAAGTCATCACTTTTGATACAATGGAGGTGTTGGTGATAGAAGGAAAAAGGTAACTTTCAGTTCTTATCAAGCTTGCATCAGTGATGTCTGCAAAGGATGACGGATAAAAGGATGTATTGTATAACATTTGAACAGACTTTGGAAAAGGTAGGAAGGGAAAATACTAACAGGGTCATAGGTTAGAAATAAAACATGGCAGTGTGAAACAAGTAAGGAAATTCTTTTATAAAGTGCATGCCTTTAATCCTGTTACCTTGTTTGCAAAAGTAGTAATCTCAGTTTACAAGCACATACAAGTATGTATGCCTCTGTTACTGTCTTCAATTAATAATTAGCAGATTTAATTTTAAAAAAGCGGGAGGGGTGGGGGGAGTATTGAAACTGTTCTAGCCAAAACAAGGCTTCTAACACTTCTAAGCTAAAATAAGAATAATAGAATCACTTTTCATCCGCTTACTTATATTTAGTTACTTTAACATAATTGTTTCATGACCCGATGACATGAAACAATTGTTTTTAAGTGACTAAATACAATTAAGCAGATTGCAGAAACGGTTGTATTATTTTTTTCAGACGATATTTAGTAGAATCAAATTATCAGTGTTGTAAAACTATTTTGCGGACAAGGCAACAGTGTTTTAAGGGAAAAAGATAAATTCTTTCTAGGTGTTATTGTGTTTAGTTTACAGGGTTATTGTGTAAGGCATATAAAGAGAAATATATATTTGGTTTACCCTAGATTCTATAGCTTTAAGGTTTAGTTTCTTCTGTGTCCTCACACCTGCAGAAATATAGAGGATTTTCATTGAACCTTTACATATGCTGTGGAAAAAATACCCATAGAAAACAGGCTGCAACCCCTGCCCCTCAGATGTCAAAGAAAATCATTCAGAAGCTCTGTGCAACACATTTTCTTTCCCTCATTACGAAGCTGAAACAGGTCTTATAGCTAAAGGCAACTGCTTGAGACTTTTAATCTAGAGATGAACTGAAAATCTGCTTGTGACCAAAAAAGGATGGTTTTCAGTTTGATCGGCTATGAACAAAAGCAGGCCAACTCTATTTTTTGTCATTAGTGGATGGACCAAAAAGAGCTTTACCATGTAGTCAGTGTGGTATGGTAGTATCGACCAAGAAGTTCTTTCAATCCAACCTTAAATGTACAGCACCATGTGCCTGTGCATGTATGGACTGTATCACCCTGTGAGAATTAAAAGAGCCGGTTGGCAGGGAAGATATCTTGTACCTAATTCTGGGAGTGCACATGGAAAAGACAGGTCACTACTGTTGTTTATACTAACCATAAAATGATCAATACTGAAGCCGTGACTTTTGTCTGAGCTAGTAGACAAGGTATTAGTCATCACACTAGGTGTACCATCAAAGTTGTAAAAGGGGAAATCTTCCTCTCATTTGTACTTCATTTAATATTAATAACTGTATAAAAGTCGACAACTGGGTGTGCTTCGGTGGCATAGTGGTTAGCGCGCACGATCCATGTACGGAGGCATTAAGGCTGATTTATACTTCGAAACCAGGTCCTCTACGTAGGTGTCACGGTGAACAAAAAGCCGTCCCCGCCCCCTCTGCAGACACTCCACTGCACCTCTTCCAAATTGTAACTGACCGCAGACAGTGCTGCAGACAGGAGGCCGGCTTGTTTTGTTTTTATGACCGAAATTGCGGAAAACAACTCGTGAAGTTTGCCCAGCTAGAAGATCGAGGTGCGCGAGAACGCTGGGACCCTTTTTCCACCTGGATACCTGCTCTTTTTCGCTGTCATGTCCCTCCGATGTCGGACAAACTCGCGCCCACTTCGTCATTGCCTCGGTTATATCTAGACCCACAGCGTAAAGCGCGGACCACGCTTCAATATTGAGCATAAATCAAAAATGTCTGCATCAAGCTAACTGCAACACACTGCTACTGGATTATAACCAGCCCTTTATTCCTCAACGTGGCCAACCCGGGTTCGGATCTAAGCTGTGGTCCTTTGCCACATGTTTTTTTCCCTCTCTTGCACCCCATTTCATGTCAGTCCACTGTCGAAAAAACAAGATACTAGAGCGGTAAAACCCTCAAAAAACAAAACGGATAAAAAACTACTATAAAAAACTACAAATTAACACAGCACCTGTGTTGTGTCCTGTCTTATCCATTACAGCAGGGTCACATATATATAGGCATGTCTGGTCACTACAGAATACATATTTCCACTGGCCAACAGTCAATTGGCAGTATGCTTGTCACTTGAACATTCAAGGCTTTGTATTGCAATTGGTGAATCAAGGCTTGGCAGGAGCCTTGTTAACCTCGGCAATGACTTTAATAAGACACTTAAAGACATTTTAGATGTTCAACCTATAGTATTTCTTTTTTGCCATAAGATGTAAACACAAAAATCCAATTGCAGCTGATCTCTTGTACTTGTCATGACCTGTTCTCTACTCCTAATGTTAATAAGTATTGATGCTTTCGCAAAAAAGACTTGAAAATATATTTTAAACTTTGTTCTTATGTAAACTGTTCTTAATTTGTAGTTCTGAAAGATAAATTTGCATCAGCATGTCCAAGCTTTACAAAACTGAATATCGTAAGTTGGCCACACAAGGTTTATCAGTACATCTCTACATATCAGCAGCTTTCACAACAATGCCTAAGGTATCTATTCTCTGAAACCTATAATGAAAAAGCACAAAAATAGAGCAAGAATTAACAAAAGAGAATCAAGCATTTAATCAAAATCAAGTGTTAAAAAATCTTCAACACAATAAGGATTAAATTATTTACCTGCTTCAGTATATAATTATCCTCTCTAGAGCTTAATATTTTTTGTAAACTCTGCTATGATGAGTGTGGCATATGAATAAACTATTTTGCCTGCATCTGTCACTCAGGGCTAAAGAAAGTTCTGTGGTTATTTTACTTTTTTGCTAGATATTCTCTTACCTTGCACCTGCCACAGGTGACTTCCTCCCAGGGTCAAGAGACGCTCCAAGCGGCTCCTCACCCAGTGACCTAGTGTCTTTACTTAACTGTTGTAGACGTGAACTGAGCTCTCCCATAACTGTTGGCTTAGCACCCTCATCTGAGCCTAGCCCAAGTCCTAACCCACCAAGATTTCCCAAACTACCAATACCTAGCCCTATCCCTGGTCCTCGGGTGTCTACAAGATCTCCCCACAACTTGGACCTCCTTTGGAAGAGATAGCGTGGCTTGGTGGGAGCTAGACCAGTCACTGAGGCAGAACCCCCTGCAGGAAGCCCAGCCCCACCAGCTGCTGCAGCAGCCAATGCAGCAGCCTGTTGCTGGGATAGCAGCTCACTGTCAGAGCTCTGCTTCAGCAAAGGGTCCCTGAAGGTGACAGGGCCTTTAGCCCCTCCTATTTGGGACTTGAGTCGAGGCTTAGGAGGCACTGGCGGTTTGTCAAGAACAAAAGTCTGCCCGTCAGCATAGGAGGTGTGCGTAGTGTGTGTGTCAGCAGGCTCGCCACTTTCTGAGGACAACGTAGACATGCTGGAAACTGTGGAGACGGTGCTGGTGGTCTCAAGATGATGGTCTCTCTCTCTGTCACTAGAGCTGCGTGTGTCAGCCTCCTCCACACCTGAGTCAGCTGCATAACCAGCCTCGCCCACTGGTGGGGGCTCCAGAGGGTCAGTAGTTTTCCCTGAGACAGCTGCTGCACTGGGTGGAGGTGGTGGCTGGGGAGGCTGAGGCTGGGTGGTTGTCACAGTTGGAGTTGTTGGGGTTGAGGGTGTTTGGGGTATTAGTGCTGCTGGTAGGACAGGAGATGGGGGAGGTTTAGCAGGTGATACAACTGTCCCCTGTGCCTGAGCCAGCAATCCATTTGAAAACTCATCTGGAGGAGGAACCACCCCAATCTTACGTAGCTCCTCCCTTGTTTCCTCATCACTAGAAGATAACATAGCAGGTGGTAAAGTGACGGTGTAAGCATCTACATCCTCTTCAGAGCTTCCCTGAGCCAAGCTCTTCTCTTGAGCGGGACTGGCAGGACGTTGAGTTTGAGGCTGAACCTGGAGCTGAGTTTGGGCCTGGGGCGCAGTGGGAGTGGGGGATTTAGCCCGGGCAATCTGTGATTTGCTGGGCTCTGTGGTTGTAAGCACAGGTGTCTGCTCAATCCCTGACCCCACACCAACAGCCTGACCATTACTGGTTGCATGAACCATGATCAGCCCTGCTGTCTTCTGCTGTGATGTATCCATAATACTGATCAACATACTTTTCTTATCCTCTAGTCTCTTTTCCTCCTTTCTCTCCTCAATTCTAGCTTCCATCTCTTGACGGAATGATATAGGTGATGATGATGTAGACCACTGGGATTTGGTGGGTTGAGGAGCTAAAATATTAGCTGGGGAGGATGAAGCACCATACCCTGCTGCCTTGGCGCTTTTGGGTGAAACAGGGGGAGATGCAGCTGCCACATCCCCATGTGGAGACTCTTTGGTCTGAGTGTCAGAGAACATTACCATCTGGCCTATGCGTTCTTGTTTAGTCCTTGGCTCTGGGCTTCCAGTTGGGGACTGACTCTGAGAGGTTAGTGCCCTCTCCCTTGCGGCCAGTGCAAGAGCCAGTGGTGAATTTGGGTCCAGAGGCTTTCCTGTAAGTGGATGGATAAATGTGGTCCCACTTGGTGAGGGGCTCAGAGCCAAGGCAGGGGGAGGAAGCTGTCCCAGCTCTCGGGATAACAGCCGTTCGTCAATTGAGTGAGACTGAGTCAAAGAGGGGGCATCAGGGCTTGTTGTGGGGGACCCCTCCATGGTCCCAACAGAAAGGAAGACAGTGGATTTCCTCCGTTCTTCTAGTCGACGCTCACGATCTTTTACTGCTCCAGCAATTGCAGCAGCAAAGGGGCCTTTACCCTGAAATATCATCTCTCCTTGGGCTCGCAAACGGTCTCGTTCGGCCATCAGCTGCTGCTGGTAGTAGTCAACACGGCTGGTGTGGGTGTGCCCACGTGGGTGTCGTCCTGAGGGTGAGCTCTCTCGTGAATGGGCAGCAGCTAAGGCCAAACTAGCCTTTTCTTGTGCATCTTCTACCTGCAGTGGAATTATAAACAAAAGCAAGCTAAGTCATCCATTAGTGTTACAGAAAAAAAAAAAAAAAAAAAACAGGCTTTAATTACAACCAACCTGTAGCTGTTTCACCAAAGGACTTTTCTTTCTTTGGGGCTTTGTGGGTGTGAACAATCCAATGCTAAACTGACCCACATTTGCGTAAGGGTTGTCAATTACCCTTCCCTTTCTTTTGATCCGTTCTGGTGGTGTAGCAGCAGAGGGACGGGGAATTTCTGTAGGTTCGACAGGTAGATGGGAGGAGTCCTGCAGGATGATCATTGAGCGAGCTTTCTTTTGTCTTTCGAGGTGTGTGGCTTGCCGCTGAGCAGCTTCATAAGGCAGGTCCAAAGAGGATGGCTTGAAGCTGGAACGGCCTCCGGGCTCATGGCCTTGACTCTGAGTCCTGGATGGGGGTGGAGGAGGGCAAAAAGCTGGAGGAGGACCAGTGTCAAAATAGTAAGGGGGAGGAGGTGGTGCCGTCTGAGGAGGTGGAGGAATAGGATGGGGCTGTGAGTGTTCTCTGAGACTGTCTGTCATAGAGGAACTGCGTGGAAATCTGTGCTCGCCTACAACTGCAGACAGCCTATCCTCTTCAGTTGCACCTGGAGCCGGAGGAAAAAGGACGAGGTATTTAGTAACAAGAAATGGATCCTTTTAATAAATATACTAGAGCCACCATAGACATCCTATACTTAGGCACCAAACTTAGAAAACAATTAACTGGACTTTGTTTCCAAGTTTGAAGACTTTTAGCTTTCCATCCAGGAAGCTTCCTCAATTCAAAATGTCTGAAACAGCGTTGAGTTTGAGGCTTTATAGAGTGGACCAAAAACGAAGTCTCGTTTTAGCTTAGAAAACATACAAATTGAACCGGGCGAATACCTGATACCTGTCTATGTCTCTGAAAAGGGGTCATTAAAGGGAATTGCTGTCAAGGATAAACAGGCGAGGTGTTCTGTTCCCCTGTAAGGGGATGGGGGTTGCAATGATAGTGGGAAGGAATCAACTTAATCACTCAATTGTAGGTTTTTGAAAGCTGAAATCTATTTGAGGTTGGTTTTTCTTTTCTAACATTGATGGTTTCCTTCATGCACCTCTCAAACCAGCTATCTTCTTTGTCCAAAATGCTAACATTCTAGTCCCATTCTTGACAAAGGACATTCTTTTGAGGACCAAAATGTTCAATTAGCATGTTTGCCTTTTTTTTCTGTCCACACTATAAAGCCTCGAACTTAACGCTATTTCTGACATTGTGAATTGAGGAAGCTTCCTGGATGGGAAACAAAACATCTTCAAACTTGGAAAAAAAGTCCAGTGGATTGTTTTTAAGCTTTTTTGGAATAATATATCATTATATATAATCACATACTTATTCATTTATATTGCTTTAAAATATAAATATGCACATCTTTATCTAAAAACAACAGTCTGTACTGTATGGAAGCTAAAAACGTTGAACAAGAATGGGCTTGCACAGCTTTTTCCTAGTGTTGCCACTCTGCAGCTTTAGTGTGTGTAGCTTGCCAACATGGTGCAGTCTTAGTTTATAGAAGGCAGACACAACAAGTAAAATCTGCCCAAAATGGTGATTTTCAATCCCAAAATGAGTTTCTTGAATGTACCCCCAAAGACGAAACACATCTTCAGAAGCAATCTGGGCCTGGACATACTGACAGATGAATTCTACATTGTCAGTGTGTCCTGACATTGTCTGGCGAACAAAACGCTCAGCTGATCTCACTACTTTTACCGTGCCCTTAAAAGACATCATCAGCCCCCCGTTGTTTTTCAGCAGATGTGGCTTGTTCCGTTGACATGCAAACCTGTGCCCAACGAGGCGTCTACGTATATGATGTCTGTATGTTTATTAATAATCAAAAAATAAAATCTGGCATCTAACTGGAAATCTGCTTGCCTTTTAAAACTTTTCAAAATCACAGATAAAGCTTAAGTAATTGATTGGAATAATAGTAACTAATCGTAAGCTAAGTAAGTTTTCAAAATATTTCTAAAGGAAGTATACAGACCCTAAAACACATAATTTCCAGAAAGAAACTCCTTCTCCAAGCAGATAATTGAGCCAGAACTGTTCAAAAGATTAGATTTTGCATGTAAGGTCGAAAACCTTATGCTTTATCCATAACACCTGAGGGTGCGCAGTTTTAGCTTCAGTTGGTTCAAATAATTAAAAAAACAAAGTATGATTTTTTATCTGTTTTTTAAATCAGTTTATCAAAAACATGAGTTAACAGATAACCTTTACATAAATGTATAGAAAAAATATAGTGGGCTTATCATTATATCGTCCGTACCAAAAAAATATATTGTTTTATTCACTAAATCAGGGTTGATTATTTTACCAAAAGACTTGGTCCTGGACATGCCTCTAGTGAGTGGTATATGACCTCTCTCGATCCCCAGGTGTAGACCTCCATGTAGTGTCATCCCTTGTCTCTCAAACAGGGACTGCAGCATAAAATTCAGAACACAGAACACAGAATTAAAGACACTCAAAGATCTGATTTAAAATTCCAAACTATAATAGCAAAACTAAAAATGTTACTATGATAGAAATTTGCAGTGAATGTTTGCACTAGTGCATGCTATGATAGCTTGGGTAAAGCTACTTTCTTTACTTTGCTTCAAAAGACACAGATGTTCCTTTAAACAAATGATGTGGTGAACAATCTTTATTTTGCCTTTCTGTTAGTCGTCTTAAGTTTTTCAGAGAACTTCACTAGAAGGTTCTTTAATACTTCTTAGTGGAAAAAACATCTATGAGATGTTTTGACTTTGGCCTGAAGAAATCACAAAACAGCGTATAAATCAGAAGTCATTTACAGTTGTGGACACATTTATCGTTGAATGAATGAGAAAAATTCAATCTAAAAAAACTTTTAAAAAAAGCACGACAGACATTGCTTTTCAATCATGTTTCAACAGAATGAGTTTAAAAAAAAAATTATGAAACAGGCCTGAACAAAAATGAAAATGATGTGACCCAATGGACATGTCAAGTCAAGGTATTAGCATCACAGGTCTCTACAATCTTGCAATCAGTCAGTGGGCCTATATATAGGGCTACAGGTAGTCACTGTGCTGTTTGGTGATATGGTGTGTATCACACTCAACATGGACCAAAGGAAGCTAAGGAGTTTACTGTGAAGGAGAGAGTCGTCTAAGGAGAATAAAAATAAAATTAAAATCAAGCATGTTTTAAAACAGTAGTTATGAAACCACCTCCAAGCACCTCTTGAGACTTTAGCCAATCACCTTGATTGTGGTTGTAAAAGGATCTTTCATGACAGATCTAAACAACCAATAATAAAGAAGACAAAAAGGAACCCAGAAACATTTTAAAAGATTAATGGTGAACTTCAAGCTCAAAGAACCTCAGTGTGAGATTGCATCATCTGTTGTTGCTTGGTCCAAAGTGGATTGATTGAGAGACGACCAAGGTAGCCTGGTAGAAAGCTGGACAGTTGCACAGAACAAATGACTGCGGTAACTTCTGGAGTTGCAGGTTAATTTAGCCCATACCCAGAAAATTTCAACCTAATCCCTCTCAGGTTTTGTGAAATAGGGCCCAGGAAATCCTTACTTACTGCTGAAACATTTCTGTTTTCAACTACAACAAGACTGCCAGTTTATTGCTTTCTCCTGCTCTACAAACTCCTCTACCCTCCTGGCTATGGAAGCATGCCCTGATCCAAATGGACATTCCCTGGTTCAAGCTTCCTTACTTCAGCTCCACCCCGCTCTCCACCACACCAACCCGTCCTCCTTGGCTGCAGCCAGCCAGAATGAAGCTCCTTAAGCCGATCTTCCAGCCAGAAGCAGAGAGCCCACCCTCTCTTGTCTCCTCGAGCTTCAGCAATAATTACCTGTCTCCATCGCCAAATGACAACTCGGTTACCTGTGACACTGGCGATGGGATTGTATCATGCGAAGGAGGGCATACAGCCAACATGATTGAACACCACCAAACTCAGAAAGAGTTTCATTTATGACCCGCCGCACTGGTGTTATGTTAAGGTAGGATCCCCGAGGGAATTTGTTCCTCCATGTAATTCGTAGCACACCTTCTGCAGGGAGATCCGAGCCTTTTTAATACTTCCTTCCTCTTACCCTATGTCTTAATACATGGTTAATAGGATAATAAAACTGTCCAAAATGACAGCAGTATCTGCAGCATAAGAAACTGGATAGATGCAATTTTTTTTAATAAGGTTTTAAACAAATAAAGATACATGTGAAAGTGAGATTGTAAAATAATTCATATGATCTGTATTATAGTCATAGGTTTGATTTTTATATACTGGTTGAAAATAGCTCCATCATTATTTATAGTACAGTTTACACCATTTTCACAAGTTAGATATTCAAGGATTTAGATTCAGTAGAGAAGTTCAGACTATTTCATACAGACAGAACTTGGTTAGCGAACTCAATAATAACAATATAAGATTTTATGATACTCAAAGAACTGAGTGGAGAATCAATAGCAACTGGAATTGAAAGATGGAATTGGAACCATAATCATTCAAACAGAAATAATGCTGAACCCTAATTATAACAAATGCTAATTTATTATTATAATTTATAACTAATTAATATCATCATCTAGAACTTAATTTTTTTATTACAATCATCCTTGTTCTCAAAATCCCTTGTGCAGTTTTTCTTTCTTTTTTTTTTTAGCACAAGCAATTTAGCATTCCTTAATCGGAATCTTTAAATATAAGAAGAAACTGGGCACAAAATTGTCTCCCTGAGAGAGTTCCAAGGTCTGGTGGCTACTGACCCAGAAGATCAGTTTCATAGACAAAGATTATGTCCAAGACTTTGGGAATAATATCCCATTGACTATTACCATAAAAGTAAAATGTTGTGGAAGATCTATTTTAGATTATGTCTGACCTAGAACAGGATTTCAGAAGTAAACCATCAACTGAGAGTCAAACTGGGAGGTAGTATTATTGTGCAGAGCTGCTTTGCCTCCTCAAGACCTATACTGTTATGATTCTCCCCTTTCGGACTTTGATTTTTCAGTTATCTAAATCATTCTGTTTTATTGATCTTTGGTTTATTTTCCATTATGTGTTATATTTAAACTGTGTTGCATTTTTTTAGTTACTCTCTGTTGCCCCCTTGTGCCTGTCTCTTTTCCCCTAGCTCCCTTCTAGGTACTTCTATCCACACCTGCTCCATGTCAGCTAATTTATTCTTTGTTCTGTTCCCCATACATACACCACCTCTACAGTTCCTCATTCCTGGTTTCTTTTCTCTTACTTGGCTCCCCATGTATGTTTTCTTTGTCATCTCCTGTTTTTTTGGTTTTTGCTATATTTTGTATTTGGAATTAGCCTCTGTTGCCTTTTGTTCTACATTAAATCAGAAAAACTAATATATGCCTCCTACGGTCTCTGCATTTGGGTCCTCAACAAACATCCACCCAACTTTGACATGGACGACTTGCTATATTTAACCTAATCATGGATTTTGTTCTCTGTGGAGAACAAAATGGTTGGTTGTGGAGCAAGACAATGATCAGAAGCACAACAGCAAATATTAAATGAATAAAAAACAAAAAAACAATCGAAACAAAAAAAGTTTTGAAGTGTCTGAATACAACAATTTCTGTCTGTCTGTCTGTCTGTCTGTCTGTCTGTCTGTCTGTCTGTCTGTCTGTCTGTCTGTCTGTCTGTCTGTCTGTCTGTCTGTCTGTCTGTCTATCTATCTATCTATCTATCTATCTATCTATCTATCTATCTATACAGTATATGGACAGAGAGATTACTTCTGTTAGTTAAAAGGATACCAAGGTATTAAGATCATCTCAGAAGTTTTACATTTTCAAACAATGTATAAAAATCCCAGCTTTTACATGTAGAACAGCATGGTACAAATAGCTGTCTGGATGTGTGCTATGTGTAGGTGCACTCACACTGATCTCTGCTGGTGTTATTCTCCTGCTGGTAGGCCGTTGTTTGACAGTGGCTGCTCTGTAATCTGCCTCCGGGGGCTGAGAATGCAACATAGACTCCTGCGATGCCAACATCTCATCTAGTCTTTCTGTTAAAAAGGAAATGAGCCAGAACTAAATGCTAAGATTTAAGACCAAGGAAATGTTTTATTCTAATTTCCACCATGGATGTCAATAAATGACAACGAAAAGACAAATCTTAAACAAAGCTACATACATAAAATCTTGATTGGGAATTGGGTTTATAACTCATTCATGCTATTTCTCTTTCTTAGGACTGGGAGAAGAAATAAAGATAAAGTGGGAAATCAAGTATAGCACTGTTTTAGCATTCTATTGTCTAAATCTCTGAAAGTTCGTGCATAAATGGTTCCCTGGGTGAGCCTTCTTTCTATAGCCCCCACCCTCAAAACGCATGCATTTACTGAACATTTAGAAAAGGGTGGGGCATGTTAAAATGTAATGCAATCCCCCAAAAAGCACATTCTCAGCTGCAAACAGGAGAAGCCTACTGGACTACACAAGCACAACAGTAACAGAAAACACAATTGATAAATATATTCTGATGCTTGTGTGCCGCCCACTTATAAGTCTGTTCTGGGCAACTGCTCAAAGGATCAATTTCAAAAATCCCCTCTGGCCCTCATCAACGCTGCTTTAATGATACAGCAGTGATAAGTCATGAATATGTTGCTCAGAGAAGAGTCAGATTCTTGCCTCAGACTCACCTCCTCGTCTTCTCCGAGCAGAAGCTTGGCGAGAAAAAGATAGCATCAGCAGAGGAGGGAAAATGACAAGAAAAAGCCAACACAAGTGACTATTTAAAAGGTTAGGAGATACACCATATTTTAATGAAGAAGCCAAGGAGGAAATATGAAAGGAAAGAAGCAAGAGAGTGTTGAGTTTGCTTGTCAGTTCTTTGGCACTCACCCAGTTCCTCCAGCTCGGCAGTCATGGACTTAGAGCGCAGAGTCAGGGTGGTGCTGGGAGCTCTCTTAGGTGGCGGGGGAGCTGAGGAGACAAGGCATGGAGTTGAGGAGGATGTTGATGGGGATGAAAATCCTTTGGCTTTGCGACTCAGTGCCCTCTTTGCATCCCCCAGTCGGCCAGCCCATCCGGTTTTTACTGCTTTGATATGGGTGAAATCAAGGGAACTGGAGGCTTCGCTCTTGCTGGGGTTGCGGCTTAAGCTCAACTTCTTCATGTTTCCCTCTTTGGCTTATTAATTTGTCTTTCTTCCAAACTTTCAGGTTTGTAATCTTTGTGCTGCCAGAATGTCCCTCTGTTGAGGATTCCATTGGCAGTAAATGAACAAGTCACTCTTCTGTGATCTTTGAATCATTCCATTAAACGCAGAACAACATAATTTGTCTGCTACAATAGGGGGCATATGTGCAGTGTGTGCGTAAAGAAGGGAGAGCAACTCATCCATCTTTTCTGTAATATGCTGCCTGCTTTAAATTTAGCAGATGTGCCTCAGATAGAGACACATTAGCACTTTAGTTTACATTCACATGCATAACCCCGCACAAAGAAAACTCCTTGAGGGTAAACATAATGACATGAAGGACGACAGACAAAGAGATGACAGCAGATTTAACAGCTAGGGAGAAGGAGGCGCTGCAGACCTTGCATTACTAGAGCTCCTGGGAACGTTCCCAGCCTACTACACACACACACACACACAATGCAACTGAACTGTTAACATCCAATGCAAGGCAGTATATCATATCTCCCAAATAATGGCTTAAAAACCAAACCGCAAAGTTACAAGCTTTGAAATAAATGTAATCAAATATTTTCAAAAACTAAACTGAAAATACTGCAGACAAATTAGCAGTAACATCAAATTATCTTGCAGAGCACAGGTAAAACCACAGTCCAGTAGCAATCTGATCATGATAAAATCTAAAACAAAACCAATACTGCCCAACAGAACTCCATCAGCTTGTCCTAAGATCATCCGGCTAACACTGAATGCACCACTTTAGATCCATAACTCCCTAGATCACAGACAAGCCCTTATGCAGCAGCTGCAGATCTACTGTACATACGCCATCCCGGGTACTGTCCACATAGAAATATCTTCATTTCCTCAGCAGCCTGCACACTCTGCTACAGAAGCAGAGAGCGGAGCAGATAGAGGAGGATGGAGAAAGAGAGACTCAGATTGAGAGAGGGTGTTGCAGTTGCTGTAATGTAATGCTTAATTCAAACATGCATTGTAGTCACCATGGCAACGGTGGCAGTAGTGAGGCCACGCATGGTGCAAAGAATTTGTATTTGTTTTTTTTTTTGCTAAGATGAAGTGTAATAAGCTGAGTTTGTCCAACCGAAGTAGGTGAGGGGCTACAGATGAAGTTAGCTCAGCTTAGGATTCCAAAAAGAACAACAAAAAGGTTGAATAAAGCTTAGACAGAAGACCTCTCAGTTTTGTTTTGTTTTTTTTTCCAACTTGTGAAGCACCTAACAAAACTTTAATTAACATTTGGCAAAAAACAAAAAAAACATGTGGATTACAGGACAGAGGAAGAGAAAATCTGCATTGAACCTGTATGTTCATTGCAACCCCACCCTGATGTACAGTACATCAGCACATTGTGCAGGACATATAATTTCAACTGAACGGATAATATATAAAAAAAAAATGAAAGCACCAAAAACAGAAAATATTTCTGCAAATCATTACTCATGTTAACTTAGCTTCATTGTATCAATCTTTGCAGGTATTATCAGAATACATAGGTGACTTAATTGATACAAAATCAGTAACCGCAATTAACAAATCTGTATTCCTCCTTTTCATACTAGGAGTTTTGTCCTCAGATCTGGTCTAATGTGGCAACACTCCAAAATATTTAAAGTACTGAGAAAATATCTTTTAATCTTCCCCAATTAAATAGATTTGAAAGGCACCCCTTAGAATTCTGCATATCACAAGCTTTCCTTGTTGTCGCACACGCGCACAACCACGCGTAAAAGCTTGCATGTCGCACTGTTAAAGAACTAGTCAAACATACCGGAAGTAAAAATCTTCTCCAGAGACTCTGAATTGTTAATATAACCATCTGCAAAGTAAAAAGAGCATGACATTAAGCTCTGGGGACGCAAAGAAAAAAATAGAGCTGCAGCAGAAAAACAGCATTACAGCAGTATTTGCACCTATTTAAATATTTTTTCTCTTGTTCGAACATGCAGTATAGCATCAACCTGTACTGGCTAAGGTGTTGGCCTTAAGCCTAATAAGGCCATCACAAGGACAAGTATCTATGCTCAAACCTAAAAGTAATTTGTAATCGCCTTTCAAGCTCCTATGAGCTGCCAAAGGACAAGCTGCACAGTAGGCCTTGATGAGTCTGTTGGCCTGGTTTACGTGATCAGTTACCATAAAACTGTGGTTTTAGAGCACTGTCCTATCTGGTTCAAAACCCTTTATTTCTGTCTCTAAATTTTGACAAAGCCTTCTATTCTAGATTGCATTATAATGCACACAACATTAAAGTTTAGGGTGTACTATGCCTGGATTGTTTGGGGTCCAAGCAATAGAAAGCTCTGGTTTACATGGAAACTACATACATTTACAATGCAAACATTTTTGTTTACATCCTTTTTAGCACACATATATTAAGGATTTCCTGAAGTGTAAAAAGGTATTTGTGGGCAAAATAAAACTCATTTGAATATTTGGGTAGAGCTGGGTCCAAACCAGGGGTCTGTTAAAGAAGCAGGTTTAAAAAAACTCAAATTCAAATCCACAACTCTAAATTAATCTACCCTAAGGCTGGGAACTCTTGATTTTTCTGTTTTACAAAGGCTGCTATGAATTAGATCAGTCAACTCAAAGTAGATCCACACAGAGATTAACACGTGCATAGCAAGTATGAAAAGCCATTATCAGTGGAGCCCTGATTCCTCAAACCCCAGTCCGTGTCGGTAGATGGCTGCTCTTACTGAGCCTGGTTCTGTTGGAGAACCAGGCTCAGTGAACATGATTGTAGCGACAGTGGGAAGGAAAAACTCCCTTTTAACAGGAAGAAACCTCCAGAAGAACCAGACTCAGTGTGAGAGCGGCCAAATGGAGAATGTGTTTAACACTAGAACTCCCAAGGCCGTCATTTTGATGGTTCTGAGATTTAAAAGGGGAAGAACTTTATTCACATTAATCATGTTAGTCATGTTAACTTACTTTTCTTGTTTCAATATTTCCTTCATTTTCACACAGTTTTTTAAATAAAATAAAAATGTAAAAAATAAATATGGTAATTTTTTACCTTGATATTCCACAGCAGTCATTTGTAAATTTTTCCCGTGGTTGAGAACAACCAATTCACCACTTTGGCTAATACGGAAATATGGCTTTCAGAAAAAATCTAACATTAAAACAGGCTTTAGAAATGCTTCAAAATATTGATAGCGATTCGGGCAGAGAGTGAGAGAATGGTGAGGTTGACTGGGTAGGAAGTGGCTCAGATTCTGACAGCAAGTCCGAGGATGATCGCCCACCCCCGGCTATGGCAGGCTGTTTTCACATTTACTAAAAGCACTCTCATCTCTGTTTTTCACTAAAATAAGATTTTTCCTGATCAAATCACAGTCCTAGACTGAACTGTAGTAATATACTTTCTAAGTTACTTTTTTGCAGCAGAAACTGAATTTCTGAAAGTAAAATAATAAAATTATACTAGTAAGAATTAAGTTTTATATACCTAGAAATGTTTACACATTTTAAATGGCCGTTCTAACATTTAGCAGCTTAAGCGAATAAGTATTTATGATATCTGAAATACATTTCTTCATAGTCAAAATAATACAAATGCTGACCAGTAACAATAGGGAAAAGGAGATCTGAAGTTAATTTCCAGAAATCAACATTTTTTATTCTAGATGTGTAGGATGTAATTTTGCTTGAGATAGATAGATTAGATTTTTTTTTTTTACAGATATCAAAAATACATATTCAGTCAAACTAATACATATCAAAAGGGCTTCCCACAGCCTGCTGTAACCATGGTAGTGGGTAAAGTTGGTATTTAGGTAAAATCAGCTGGCAGTAGGTGAACATACAATCTAAAATGTTGTTCCAATAGATGGAACCGGTTCATCATATCATGGGGTTACTCCTCAGTTTGATTCTGTCTTCCATTAAACAGTAAATACTAAGTGGCTGTTTGTAGCCACTGTGGATGCTGTCATCCCAATAAATGGTCATTATTAGCGGTTATCGGTTCCATAGAATGGCTTCAGATTATGACAGTAGGTTCAGTAGGTTGTTATCCCTTCCTGAATCCTAATGCTAACCCTAAAATAATTCCTTTTCCTCCAACATAATACATCTATTTATGTGTAATCTTTCAACAGTTCTTCATGGACTGCAAAAATAAATAAATAACAAAAATATTTTTTTTATATCCGCATCGTGTTCACATTAAACAAACCAAAAAAATAAAAAATCTCTATCCTGTCAACTGAGTTGTAGAACCCTCTCCCTAAAAATATTTAATACTAGAAAAATGCCGATCATTTTTTATAGGATCCTCGTCAAACAGACATGCAATTTTTTTGTTTTAACATCTAATATGTCTAACATACCTAGCGAAGGATCTTTTTAATGCACAAAACTATGACAAAAATCTGACAAAATCAGGAAATAAAACAATGTGATTGGCTCTAAGAAGAGCTGAGACAGAGGACACTTCTTGAAACTATCATATATGTCGATCATGTATAGAACATTTCCAGGATTAAAGGACTGTCTCAACAGGACCTTGAAAAACCCATTCATACATGTAACTTTAGTAAAACTAACAATTGCAGCAGTGTTTTCACAGGCCTGCCAAAAAGTCCATCAGACAGCTGCAGTCTAGAATGCTGCTGTCTGTATCCTTACTAAAACAAAGAAAGTGGAGCACATCACCTCAATTCCAAAGTTGCTACACTGGCTCCTCATATCTCAGAAAAAAACACTTTAAAATACTTCTCATATTCTATAAATGAATGAACGACTTAGCTCCAAAATAAATTATCAACTTGCTGTCATTGTATTTAATGCCATGACTGCTCAGGTCTTCTGACTCTTATCTACTTAACACTCAGACCCAGAACTAAACATGGAGAAGCAGCTTTTAGTTCTTATGCTCTAGAAATTTGGAAAAACTTTCAGAAAACTAAAAAAAAAACACTGACACCCTAAATTACTTTAAACTCAGAATAAAAATCAATCATTTTATCTTTTAATCTAGTATTTTTTTTAATTATTCATTTTATCCTTCAAGCCACTTAAATGTAGAGCTTATTTTACTTAAATATGGTGTATTAATAAACTTGCCTTTCCTTTTTTATGTATTAATTCAGTTATTTATTTAGTACATGCACCAGAATTAGCCAAAATTATATTTTTTATGTGTTGTCCATGGACAAAGCCCAGTTTGTCTCTCTAAAATGAACAAAAGTTATACAATCAAAGTTAAAATGATTGACGAATACAAATTGATCTTAAACGAAAATACATAAATAATAAAAACATGGAGAAACTACAACCAATAACATTTTTTTTTAAATATACTTATTATCAGCTCATTATTACCAAATTTCAAAGCCTGTCTTACCTTTCTTCCGAACTACTTCTTCCGACTCTGGTTTTCGAGTGACAGAAACAACTTTCATTAAGAGTCTGCTGCCCCCTTGTCGGACCAAGGACACCACCTGTTTATGGCCCACTTTCACTACATTTACCCCATTCACCTGGACACAATGCAAAGACAGAAATAGGATGAATAGATAATAAACTGAAAGTGTAATTTCATCCAATTCCACCCACCTCCCATGATAAATTAATAGGACACACAAGTTATTATTACGCTATACTAATATATTGATGCTCCAAAGCTCAGAAGTCTGCCTACATCTGTACTGCAGAAATGACCTCCTATCTTCAACATAAAGGAAAATGCAGATCAAAACACAAGTGATGATGTTTTATAAACAACCTCAATAAGAAAGTCCCCCGTCCTGAGACCAGCCCTCCAGGCCACCCCCTCCACATCCACAGACTCCAAGTACTGCAGGGCAGGGAATGCTGGGGTAGGGGTGAATTCTTCAATGGGAGTCTCAGCTGTGAAGAAACATAACGATTTCACATTCTTTCAGAAAGAAAATCTAAAGAATTAAGGCAGTTAAAACTGCACACACCAGTGTCTCAAAGACATGTACAGAGGTATCCCTGTTGGATAGAATTGTATTTTATTTTCCTTAGGGAGACTTCACACATTAGAAGACATGGAGAGAAATGATGGCAGGATGATTTTTCATTTGATAACCTTATCAAAAAATCTGAAGGTATTCTTAATAACAAAAATAAAAATACCTTTCATTTCATTGCCTTCTGTACTCTTCCGGTCTTATCTGTATCGTTATACTTTAATTTGCCTATCTATTGCCAACTGTGGGATAATAAAGAGCTATTCTATTCCATTCCATTTTATTCAATTCCTTTCCGATCTATTCTATTTTATGCTATTCTATTCTATTCTATTCTATTTTTTCCATTTTAGTCACCTTATTGGCTAATTTAACATCCAAGCTGTCTCTTCAACAAAGACTGGATGTGACATAAACAGCAGGATCTTTTGGATGATTAAGGTATTATCCATTTAGATAATATTAAACAATACTTTCCTTTGTGTTTTTTAATCCACATCTTCAGACTCAGTCTGCTTATTTCTCTCCTCAGTTAGGTTAATATACTGGTACGCTAATTCTAAAACAAACAAAAACTTTTAATCTGATGAACTTCCATAAATGGTGTTGTTACGGTACGTTGACTATTTTAAATCCCTTTGTTTAATTACTCCATTCACACCAGATATGGAGGATTATTTGCCTAACACATTTTTTGTTGCCAGCTTAACAGTCTCAATGGAATTTTTTGTGGGATACTCTACAAAACCGAATACTTAGTGATGAGACTCCCCTCAAGCTTACTAAGACTACAATGGCCTCTACTGGTTTTAAAAACCAAAAAACGTTTTTTAAACAATATTTTTAGAATAAGATACAATGGTGGGTAATTCAAAATAATAGTTGTCTTAGGGAATATTGTAATGGTAAATTATGAGCATGTTTACGTTAATTCACTAGAATTTTAAAGAAAATTTTGAAGAAAAAGTATGCAACAAAACTTAGGAAAATAGAGATCAATAAAAGAGCTGTGGAGGAAACATTAAGCAAACCTTCAGATGATTTTACTGCAAAGGAGCCCTTATCAGCTGCTTTGACATTTACCTTTACTGCACTGTATGATGAAGTATTGAAAAAATGTTTTTCAGGACTAAACATGAGGAAATGAAAGGGATTCAGTGGAAAATCAAGTCCTGTCACTTCTTTGAAATGTCTTTTACAATCGAAACACCGATTTTCTGAAAGCTCATTTTTATTAGGATCAAGGGTGAGGCGTTCACAGTGTTCTACCACATCAGGATGGCATCCACAAGCTATCAGGAGAGATTACTATGCTGTTATTTTTCTTAAATAAATATTTAAGGATCAACTGCACATCTGGAAATATTTTTATTTTATGTTTTCATTTTTTTTCTACCCATGGTTAGAAGCCTGTTAGACAAATCCTTCGGAAAGTAGGGAAAAACATTAATTTTTCTTTTAATATCAAGCATTCAGCTAACCCGTTTAACTACAATATATAAAAGTCTTTTGTGTCTGTGCGCTGAGCTCTAAGAGGTCATTCATTATTTACTCTACTGAACAGGCAACTCAGGTGAATCCCATACGGGCTTAATGTCCGAATAATAACGATGCCGGAGCAATTTAATGTATCTGGGAATTAAAGAAACATCAGCAGCCCTGTTGAAGTCCTATTAGGTGATTAGATGGCAGCTAACCAAAAGATATGGCTGTTAAAGGGATGTGATATGATTGTGTAGAACTGGTGGTAGTTTCAAGCAATACTGCCAAATTTTTAATAAAGATCAAAATACATAAGTAACCATTTGGGCAACATCTTAAGCCATATCAATTGGTGAGGTAGCATACCAACCTATAATTGGAAGAGGGTTTATAGCTATACAGCCCAAATCTACTAAGTTTACATTCTGCATTTTTATTGAATGTATGTAGGTTTTGCGTGCTGAATCTAACTGATACCTGCTTTAAACTCTGAACAGGGATGCAGCTGTGCATGCAAACCCCAAATCTATATGCACACATGCAGACAAACCATACACACACTCTTCGAGCAGTATAACAACTTGTTTAATCTCAAAGCGAGTCTGAGTAAATCACTGACACATGAGAGCTCTCAAAGGACCACTAAGTGAACTGCTGTGTGTGTGTTTGAGGGTATTGGAGAGTAAAAGACGGACTAAGAAACAGAGTGGGGCAAGCCAAGATTCATGGTAGAGAGTGATGGAGCAGTAAAGCACACTCAGACTCCCGGCAAGCTGCCGAAGACAGTGCTGCCATAGTAACCAGCACGAGCAAGGAGCTGGCACGCGTGTGATAGTAAAAATGAATTTGCAGTAACAGAGCATGAGTCAAAAGGTGGATTTGGCTAAAAAGCGTGAGGTATAACAGAAATGGTCAACAGCAAGGAGAAAAGAAAGACGCTTGTAAAACAAACAAATAAAAAAATAGCCAAAGCAAAAATGAAAGGAATACTAAAGAAGAGGCTTCTCTTCTAAAGCCTAACACCATGTGTGATGAACAGATGGGACAGAAAGCTGACAGCTCGGCCAAGGATGACGCCACCAATAGCTCTCTCTCTCTAAATTCACACACACACACAAACGCATGAGTGCATCTGAGTAAATAAGCAGATTGTTGACCAAGGCTAGTTGTGTCGTTGGCTAAAAGAGTCACAGTAGTGACTGAGATGAACCCAGTGACTCAGATCCTCAAACTCCTTATGAGAACAGATCAATTAGAATATATGCACTTGACTTGAAATCTGTGTAATTCAATTAATCAACTGTTTTATTGTAAATTTCCTTGAGATTGCATGTGTTTTAATTAGCCTATAAACAAACTGAATTGAAGTGAAATCTGAGAATCAATCTAACATTTAGAACAGAAGCTGTGGTCAGGATAGTTTTAGTGTTAGCTTTATTCTGTGTGTTCTTAACTCACCTTTGGCTCCTCGCAAGACAAAACCGAACCCCTCATTTTCTTTCTTTTGTAAAACAGCATTCTTCTCCTCCACAATGTAGTCACTGTCGAGAAGATAGCACAGGTAGAGCAGGTATGAGTTCAACACCATCCTTGCACAGGCAAACAAAGAGGGTGGAGGGAGAGGGCAGTGGAGTGAAGAGGGTCGGCTGGTTGGGGGCTGAGCCATGGGAGGAGACGTAGGATCACACACACATACATGGATGTACCCACACAGTTTTATTGTCTTTCCAAATCAGGTTAAAAGCAAAGAGAAAGATAACAGCAAAAGGTTTTCAGGAGTCGTACAAGTGTTTTGAGACAGACACAAAGAAGAAGTCTGAGTATGTGATAGAATAAGGAGGTTAAAAGGGTCCTCTTCACTGAAGTATCTTGAGGATAATCTCTAAAACCTGCAGATGATCCCTTACAGGTAATTCCGTTGAGGAGTTAGTTCAGGGATTTAAAAAAAAGAGAAAGACTCAGATGCAATACTGTGCCCTGACTGATGAGAAAAGAAACAGGACGTGAAAGTAAGCAAAGCAGTGTAGGTTGTTCTAAGCATCTGGTGCCCTGCAAATCTTTCACAATAAATCCTTTATCTATGCACTTGTTTAAATTCTCAGAGCCAAACGTGTGTTTAGTGCCATAGCTTTAAAATGCAAGGAGCCCTTCAGGGTTGTCATAGTAATAACAAATAACAAATAAACAAAAAACAACAACACATAACAGAAGGCTGATGCTGGTGGTGTAATGTGTTATGTTGTGGCCTTCATGGCTGTGCAAATTCTCAGTCATTTCGGCAACTACAAAACAGGCTCAAATTGGAGGTAACCAGAATTTTGCTCAATTTTCTGAAAACTTCAACACCTCTGCGGAAGTCTCTGTCAATTCTAAAGTAATCTGTAATTGGAGTGATTAGAATTTTAAGAAGAATGGAGCTACATCATCCAAGGCACAGCAAAGGATTTTATAGCTATGTTTTCTGTTAGACAATTGGAATCATCATGCGTGTGTTTGCTTAACTTCTTCTGAATAAGCTCCAGGACAAAATTGTAGAAACCACCATCCTCTCCCTCTGTTGAATGAGGAACTTTTCATTTTTAACAATGATGGTTTCCTTCATCCCTCTTCAAACCATATGTCCATTCTGTCCAGGTTCTGATCATTTTGGTATTTAAAGATTTGTTCTTTGTTCTTGAAGCGCACGTGTATTATCATCCACTACAATATTGGATGGTAACATCTGAAGCGGCTGCAAAAAGCCACTCAGTTTTTACTGTGTGATGTAAAACAGAATGAAACTGAGGACGAACCCAAGAGTTGATCCACAGGTCCTGCCTATTAAAATGTTTTTATACATAATTTTCACCTGCTGCCAGAAGATTTCACCTAAATAGATACATTGATCCACTAACATTCAAGAAATAATCCGGTAATTTTAATATTTTGACAAAGCTATGGCAAGCTAATTTGACATATGTTAGTTTTACTGAATATGCTATGTATTTCTGATATCTGAAAAAAACATTTTTTCTTGTCAAAATGACCATTCCAAAAAAATGATATTCTTCACATTTATAATAAACACTCTGGATGTCTAAAAATTAATTTCAGATCTCCATTTCAAAACTGCTACTTAAAATGTGCAAACATTTTTAGGTACATAGTTTTTTTATTTATGTCTGAAATTCAGTTTTTGCTGCAAATATGTAATTTAGAAAATATGTTATTCCAGTTCAGTCTAGGAGCATAATTTTAATCAGGAAGAATCTTATTTTAGTGATCTACAAATGGAACAACAAAGAGAGTGCTTTTAATAAATGTTAACCTGGCCTGCCATAGCCGCTTCATATAAACTCATGCATTAACTGGGGCAAAAATGTTCTCCTTTGCAGCTGTAGTGCAGTTTTTCAGTCTTTTAAACACATTCTCCTTTTTTTTTTTCATTTCTCCATTAAAATCTCTAGTGATGTGAAACAGGCACTTCTTGTTGCCTGTTGTCATGGTGACTCGTCGAATCGGGGCTTAACTAATAATAGCTTTTCATATTTGTACATGTTCAACTCTGAGTGGACATACTTAGAGTTGATTGAACTAATTAATGGCAGCAGTCGAGAAACTGAAAACTCAGAGTTCCACACCTAGATCAATTTGGAGTTTTAGATTTGATTCTGAGTTTGTAACACCTGCTTCGTGAAACGGACCCCAGGCGGGTCACTGATTTGCCTCTTACTTAGAATGTGCCTAGGAGGACAGGCCTCCAGAAGAATAAAACAGCAGCACTCTAACTAAGAATTTCTTTATTGTGAGCTGACAGACTTAACAAAGATTTGGATCAATGTTGAAACATTTTAGGAAAAATTAGTAAAAAGTCTGGTTGCCTCCATTTTAAGCTGGTTTTGTTTTTGTTGTGGTCTTGGCCAACTTTTAAACCTCTCTACTATTTAAGTATAATTCAAAAACCACAAGACTAGAAAACTAGACATCACCTAATCCCTGTAGTATACACATTTCTGAGAGGTTTTCCAACAGGATAATGGATCAATACACATAGCTCCTTTCATCTCATGCTGGATAGTGGAATATGAGAATGAGTTTAATGTACTCCAAAAAAAAAAAAATGCACAGTGAACATGCAGCCCACAAATCTGCAGTAACTGTGTGATGCTATCCTGTTAATGTAAACCATAATCAATATGAAACCTTGTGTAAGCATTTACATAAATACCTTAGGCAGTTTGAGCTACAAAAATAGATCCAGTCTGATACTAGTAAGGTATACCTAATACATCATTTCTACTACTAGCAGTAAAATTGATTTATTATTGCCAGTGTAAAATCTAAATAAACCTTGGTGTAGTCTGCACAAATAGAGGTAATACATTTTTTTTTGTTGAGACTTTATTTTACATAATTTAACTCACTAAAAATTTCCTTAGAAGTCTTTGAAGCATTTTTTAAAAACATTCTTGACAAATTAGGTAGACATAGAGCACCGGTGCTCAATTTGCCCAGGCAGCTGCAGCTTCATTATCTCAGCTAAATACACTCCACTCTCAGACTTACCAAGATATTACAGAGCTCCTGCTGCTGGAGCCGGGAGATGAGTAACCAACCTATCTGTAGGGATGAGGTTAAAAGTTTGATTTTATAAAATACTATCTATCCACTTTTATGCTGATTATTATGCTCAAAATGCTGCACTGGAGATGCAATACTAAGTAGCTTGATCATTTTCCATGTAAATGTGAACAGCATCATTAAAACTCTGTGAAACTTTACATTTAAAGCTGCAGTCTGTAACATTGAGAAGAGAGCAGACTTCGACTGAAAATTTGAAGAAAAACAGGTTTCACGTCACTCCCCCACCCTCTCTGCTTCACTCATGCCCCACCTCCAAGCTCCACCCCTCTCACAGCATCTGCGCGGCTACCGCATGCGACCAGAAGGGGTGAGGGGGGGGGGGGGGGGGGGGGGGGGGGGGGATTCAGCGTGTGTGAGCTGTGATTGACACTCCATCAGACGCTCCTCTGGCTGTGATTGGTTGTTTTGACTCGCCCCGAATTATTCTTTCCAGATTGAAATACAGGCAGTAGGCGGTACCAATTGAAGCAGTTTTTTTCACAGGTTACATATCACATGTACTGCTGTCTGGGCATAGGGACAGTTTCAGCCAATATGACAAAAAAGTGATTTTTAAAAACTTACAGACTTCAGCTTTAACACAGGGTAGGGGAAAAAATATCTAACTTGTGATAATTTTTGTGCATAAAAACATTCTCTTCTCTTTCATTTAATTTGATATACAATTCACACCCGATGTTGATAAGAGCCCCAATGGTCCAGAGTAAAAAATAATGAATGCAAATAAGCGCATAAATTATGTTATGCGTAAAAGTTGGAAAGCTGATTCAATACTTTGTGGAAAGCCTCTCTTGGTGTTAACAATAAATTTCTTCTCTTTTTGATCTACTATCCTTTAAGCATCTATGGGCAGCGACCCTTGCTCTGATCTGCTTAACAATTAACAATTCTTACACTTAGACTTTATTGTCATTTTGTACACACAGAGTGTATAACAAATTAAATTTCATTCTTTTTGCCCAGGCCTTCAAGACATTTCCATTTTTAAAGTGCAGCAGTGATAAAATGTAAACATGGTGATCAAATGTAAACATAACACTGGTATATGATTGAATGTTTCAGCGCTTCTTTTTTTAAACCCCATTTTATACAACAGTCTAATGGCGGTGGGGAAGAAGCTGTTCTGGAATCTGTTGGACCTGCAGCGGATGCTGTGAAGCTTCTTCCCAGAGGGCAGCAGGGAGAACAGTCCATGGTGGGGGTTTGAGGGGTCATTTATGATGTTACGGGCTCAGGACACGCAGCGCTGGGATGAGATGTCTTTTATGGAGGGAAGAGGAGTCCCGATGATCTTCTCTGATGTTCTCACTACTCTCCTCATCTTCTTCCAGTCTGAGGTGCTGCAGCCTCCACACCACACAGTGAGACAGCTGGTCAGAACGCTTTCTATGGTGCTTCTGTAAAGGGTTGTGAGGATGGTTGGGCGCAGGTTGGCTCTCCTCATCCTCCGCAGGAAGTAAAAGCGCTTCTGTGTCCTTTTGACCAGTGAAGTGGTTTTTTACAGTCCAGGTGAGGTTGTCTGTGATGTGCACCCCCAGGAGATGTGCAACATGACAGCAGAATGTTATTTAACTGAATAAGACGCAAACTTTGCAAAAATCAGCACGAATGGGATAACTGATTGAGGTTGTTGGGAACAGTGATGGTTATAAGGTTTTACAGCTGCTGGGGGTGGGGGGGATCTGTGATAACGCTCCACGTTCTCCTTTCCTCCTTCTCTCCCTTCTTTCTTTCTATCTCCCTTTCCTTCATGTCCCTCTTCCCTTTTTTATACTCCTTTCTTCCTTTTAACCCCTTTATCGCTCCTCTCAATTCCTTCTCTCCTTCCACTCTCTTTGCTAAAAAGAGTAGGAAAAGACTGCCAACAAGCGAGAGACTAATAATTGCCATTTCAAACCTTTCAATTCAAAGACACAAATCAAAGAGAGTATCTAAGGAACTGCGAGCTTCACTTTGTTTTCCTCAGTTTCCTATCCAGGGTTCATGAAGTCAACCATGATGTCCAACTTTTTTCAAATCTATCTCGTTCCAATTTCAGTGCGATTGTCAATTCTTCCATCCGGAGAATGTCTTGAAAAATAGTAATCAAGTCTTCCAGCAAAGGTTGTATATCCAATTTCGAGTGATTGCTTTTTTTACCGGCAGTTTTGCAAAGTCTTTTGAAAAGTAGCAAGATCTATTCTTCAAAATCATGAGCTACTTCATGACCTAGTCCATATTAAGATCTCTGTTTATACAATAAAAAATGGAAAACAAAATGTCTGTGTAATAGTAACCAAATGCACTGTACATTTTATTGGTCAACTATAATCAAACACAGTATTTTTCTAAAAGAAAAAAAAAGTTTAGTAAAGCACAATACAGTTGCATTTAGCAAGTTACTAATGAAAATAATCTGAGTTGGTTTCCCCTTTTCTATTGAAGGCAATACTATGAAGATGGCTAATACAGTAATTCAAAGACTTAATCAAGTAAAGAACAATTTTAAACGTTATTACTGAGTGCAATTCTCATTTAAAGTCTAACTTTAACACCTTAGCTGCATAATTCTATAAGGGATTATAAGGGACAGAGAATTATCACCCAACATGTTACAGTATGATCTGTAAAGCTTCTACCTTATTTAGAGAAACCAAAATATGATTTTGAATTGATAATATAAATACTTGAAAAATCTCCTCTTTCATTTATATCAAACCAAATTTATTCATCATCTTGTATCCTGTTATTTCATGATAATAAAGACGATTTTCATCTTCAGTAATGTTTAAATCTACCCCCAACAATGTCTCTTCAATTCAAATTTTTGTATTATTTTAACAAGTATGGCCTGCTTGTAACAGCTCTAAAGTCAAATTTAAGACACTGAGATTTTAAAAGGTTGGTAGAGTTAAAAATAAAATGCTAATGTGGAGCAACTCTCTCTTAAGTGCAAAAAAGCTTTGTGGACTTAGATTGCTACACTGCTCTTCAGCTATCATTGATCTAAAATTAAGAAGACATTTGAATTTTGTAGACAATAAATTTCATATTCATATTAGAAATGAAATCATAAACAAAGACCCTGCACAAGAAATTGACATCTAAAAGGACAAGTTAAAAGATGGCAGCTATAACTACACAGACATCGACATGTAAAGTATATAAGGTCTTCATGCTGCATCTTTGCATGAAACTGAACTAGTTCACATGAAGTGCTTTGCATTTGTCAGAACAGAATGCAATGACAGCTTCATTACTTTAGGTGGCAGCAGCTTCACTGCACTTTATAACCTTTTTGCACTGACATTATTTACCAAAATTTCACCAAAAAAATCTTTGACCATTAGTTTTTTTCCCCCACTTTCTCTAAAAACATTAACCAACAGCATTACCTGTATGAGGTGAAGTTGTCATAAGATCCCACAGTGTAGTGTCTAAACAGTCTCTTATTGCGGTCCTCCCGGGTCTCTGTGAAAAAGAAAGCAGTTGTTATTCATGAAAACTGTCAGGTTATTAGAAAAATTATGAACAGATATAGATTTTTTTTCTTAATAAATTGTCACTTTCTTTGATAATTGTAAGACAATGTAAAGTCATATCCTTTTTGTTTTTGGTTATTACACTTTATGAGCTTAGCTTTAAATGGTACATTTAAATATAAGATCAATACTCAACAACAGAAAAGCACAACTAATTGTGTTTTACACAAAATCTGATAAGATTTTCTGATTTTATACCAGTGGTGTAGTAAGTAACAACAAACTCTGCCGACACAATTGTTGTTATAATATTCTCTTGGCACTCATTTAACCATATAAATGTTGCAAAAAAGAGCACATTAGTTAGAAAAATGTTTAAATTCACAGAGCATCCAGTTGTTTGCTTGTTAGTATTTTAGCCATAATGTATTAAGTGAACACAGAGAGAAATTGGTTACCACAGAGAAGCAATTATCATTAACCTTTTTCATCAATCATATCTTAACAGGGTAAAATTCTTCCAAGATAATTTTTTTTTGCTTTATTTATTTATTCTAACTGTAACATAATTGTATCTTTAACAAAATCTATGTCGTTAAAGAAAGGGAAAAGTACAAGATTTAGAGCTCAGTTTAGGTAAAGTACGCTTTTCAGCTGAAATGGGACGGCTTTGAGAGCTGAGTCATCCAGGTAGGGATGTGAAAGTAACAACATATTACAGTGAATCTGCAATACAAAAATAAAAAAAAAATAAAAACTTATATCATACACATCATCTTATTTGTTTCCTGTATTTCTCTAAACCCACTATAAAACACTCCACATTAAAGATCAGTGAAAAGGAAAGTTATATTCATGTGAAAAATCCAAAAGGGTTATACTTTTACATTCTAATTCTTCACAAGAGTAATTGAAAGTGACTTTTATTTTTAAAACTGACCATAACCCTTAGTTTAAACATTTTATTTTTCTTCATATTTTCCTTTAGTATTACCATATTTACACGGTTGATCAGAGTTTTAGAAAGTTCTAAATTATTATATGTAATAACATTGGTTTTATTTTAATAACTTATTTTACTTTACATTTAGCGAAGGTAGGAGATACGTTATTAATATACAAAGACATTGGCACCCGTAAAATGCTTTTTTGTTTATATTTGTCTGACGAAACTGTGTTTTCTCTACTATGACAGCAGTTGCACTCCTCCTATTGTTAGAATTCTATTCCAGATGTTTATAAGTGCTTTATTCTTTTCAGTTTAGAACTACCTGGTATGATTGCTGCTGGCATCCCTTTATCTTTCATCTAATCTCTTGTAAAACATTTTGTACAAAATTCAACTTCCTGGAAAGTGCACTTAAAGTGACATCTGACTCATCAATTGGTAGAAAGAAGGAACTGGGTTGTCATAGTGACATGACCTGATAAACAGCACATATCGCACCATCCCCACTACTAACCACAGTAATAGAAGTTAACATTAGCATTAACAACTTTATGTATGTATTATTTATGCTTCCAGGTGCTAATAGTGGATAAAAACCTGAACATATAAAAACATGTATATCATGGTATAGGCAACACATCAGCTTATATTCACTGATTTACAGAGACCCTGGTTTATTAACTGATACTGCACAGAAAAAAACGAGTAAGATGGGAATTAAGTAAATACATTTTTTGGTAGTACTCATAACAAATGCCCAAAGGCTTAAACTTAAATATTGTGTGTCATGCCAACAGTATTTACCAAGTTTACACAGAAATGACCATGAGTAGTCCAGAAAAAATTAAGAGTAAGACTACTATGTGTGAGAGCTTGATATCCTTACAAGTTCTAAAAAATGGGTAGAAACATCATAATCTGGTATCTAGAAAACTTGAATAAGAAATAAATTAAACTCATTAATTTGCATTAAAAAATGAATTTACAAAAGACAGAATTTAGAAAGAATTTATAAAATGAATGTAATTGTAAAATGAATGTAAAAATGATCCAGAGATATGCTGAACTCTCTTGAAATAAACTAAATAACAGACACACCAATTGCAAAGGAAATAAATATTTAACTTTATCCAACCAAAGTTCTGTTATTATCTGAAATTGAGAGATGCTCACTGATCTGTCTGGTTGGGTGAACCAGTACATAACTAAACATGATCACAAAATGGTTGTTAGAAGTCTATTTATGAAGCTATTTAATTTGGACCTTGTCTCAAATATTTCTGTTTGATTGAAATTAATGCAATTTGTTGAACACAAAGCATCTGTTCAATTAAACAATGATTTTAACTTTTGCTGACAACTAATTTTTTTAAGATAGTGGATTTAGGCTTAAAAAACAGAGACGGGAACAGAAAAGTAAGTAGTATAAATTAACAGGTTAGTTTGGGTCTGATCTAAGAGAGGAAGATGCTACATTTATTAGTGCAGCCAGGGGGAAGGTGTAAAGAAGGAGGCATTTACAGATCAGAGGTTCCTTATTCCTGACTTTCCCACAGCTGATTATCAAACTGTGCATGTAATCAAATAAAGGCTTCTTTATCTCAATGAGGGGTCAAGAAAAAGGAAATGAGGCAAATGAGTGCTCATACATTTTGAGATACTATTGTGTGTGTGTGACATGCATTTCTGCGTGTATATGAAAACTGTTGGATCAGATGCAGTGTAAAAGTGTGAAATGTGTCTCATTTATCAGAACTGTCATGTATTCAGTACAGCCCAGGAGCATCTAAAAGCAGGGCACCGATAGCAGCCATAACCTCAACAACACTATCATCCATCACACCCATACCCAAAATATTGGGAATCATAGGCATCACAAAGGATGTTCACAGTATTTCAAATACAATTAAAGGTGCTGCTATATGGGCATGAAAATGCATGGATTTTCCTCAACTTTATGAACACCCGAAAAGTTTTAAATAAGAATGATGACAGAGAACATTGAAAGATGTTGTAAAGTAATGAAGTAGTGATTCAATGGTTCATATGAACCCTTTTAGAGGCAGGTACTGCAGATAAACCTCGGCTACAGCTCCAATTGTTGTAAAGGATTTTTCCCAATCCCAATCAGAAATCAAAACTCGACTGTACTATTATTTAAAGCACTTATATTCCATTGATTTCTTGTTTTAGCAAAATTTAACAACCAGATATTTCAAAAAGTTTAGCTTTCAGACAGAATTACTCCAATTCTAATTCTAATTACTTACAGAAAACGTGATGGATAACTTAATCATTATACAATGACAATGGATTCTAACATTCTTATCTTTTAATTAAGAGAAATGTGACAAAAAAATTAAGATTGTTATTATTTAACACCAATACACGTTTCAATGGATTTTCTCGCTTTCCTGCTGATGCCTTTCCTTCCTGCAAATGAGTAAAACAAAAGTTAACGCTTAAACTAAAGTTTTACAATTTGCATACCTTTATCTGGTTGTTTCTTATCCACTCAATTTGGTATCAAAGGCAGGTTACATCTTACGAGAACTACATGAGGGACATTTGCCTTAGAACGCTCTTCAATAAAAAAAAAAGAAAAAAAAAAGAGGTCAACTGAGAAGAAATTTTCCATTCATGTGAAAAGAGAAAAATGTGAAAGGCTTAGAAACATTTCAGCTGGGCAAAGTAAAACATTTATCTTAGCATTAGGTAAATATCTTCAGAAAACAGCATAAGTTCATTTCTTGAACCAGCTACGATAAAGTATTTTAAAAATTTCTGCTGGAAGTATGTCTTTTAAAGAAACTCACATCACTTAAATTGTATGTGATTAAATGGAGCTTTAGTGAAGGTTAGAGATGAAATGTACAGTAAGAATATTAATAAAGTGCACCAATTTTACACATATAAGGATTTAGGTATTATCTAGCAATCTGTTTTAGTTATTTATTTTTCATTAACATCCTATGGAAATGGAGATTTATCCAATTAGCAGGACATTGAACGACTCAGACATCTGCATGACTCTATATACATTTGCTGTAAAGTCCTCTGAAGGGAAATCTTCTATAATCTAATGGTCCTCTATGTTTTGGTTTAGTGAATTTGAGGTCTATATAACAAAAGACAATGCCTTGTGAAAAAAGGCCAAACAAAAATTGGGATTTCAAATAGAGATTGAAATCCCTTCCATCACATTAAAGCTGTATCTGATGGCACAACCTCATTCTTTCCTTCAGTACAATGCTTCTCCATTCAGGACAGATGTTAACTCTCCTGCTGCCCTTGTCTGAAGGACATTAGAGCTAAATCTCTCTTTCTCCTCTTAACCCCCCCAACACACACACACACACAGACACCAACATCTCCTGCCTTGCACTCTTGCTGCCTCTTTGTGCATGCTGTGTGTGTGTTGACACATTTAGTCATTGTGTCTTATCGTGAAAAGACCAGGGCCAAACAAGGAAGACTTTACTGTAGCATATTAGATTATAATCAAAGTTAAATATATAAATGAAATATAATTAATACATTAATATAAAAATGTTTTATCCATCTCCACTGAATCTACCAGTGTAAACAAATGATATTTAGTATATTTTAGTCATCCCATCTGAATGTGTCTGCAGTTCACAATTTTTGTAAACAGTGATTGTAATAGATTCTAATCACAAATTCTGGCTTTTATTGACCTGTAGCCTCACAGAGGGTAATTAACCCCAAGGCTGAACACCATTTCCCCAAGTAAATATAATATACTTACTATATTTACTTTTCAACTAGTTAATAGCTAACTAACTTTATGTCCTAACTTTATGTTCTCTCTGCTTTTCTTCATAGCCCTTCCATGTGGCCTGGTGCTCTGTGTGGCTGGCTCTGTCCTAGGGATAGCAAAAATCAGAGCTGTCATCAACCATCAATGGAGCTAGTTTAAAGTTACTTTCTAACATAGAAAGTTTTTATGGATCAGAGCTTCAATTATCCTTTTGTATGTCCACTTCTATCTGATTGAACCCCAATTCAGCCTCAGCAGA